TTTGTCCCTTTAGAAAGTCTACGCAAGTACTGTACGTATCGCAGTCAGACAGATGGTAAGTGTGCTGCTCACGGGATTCACAGCCTTGTTGCTCAACAGAAGTTCAGATTTTATCCATCTTCTGTATTGAGATAAACGGACATAGATCCCGGGAAATTTTGGTCGGCCACAGCCAACTCCAAAACTAGCAATCCCTATGAGATAGTATTTGTCGGTACTAGGGTGATAGCACGCTAAAGGTCCACCGCTGTCTCCCTGTAAATAAACGATACGAAAAACTAGTAACATACGTTCCCTTCCAGGAGTCAATGTAGAATTAAGGCAGTAATGCATCCACTTCTTCCCCCCCCCCCCCCCCCCCTATTTTTAATCAGCTAAGTTAACTGGACAGTAATAATGACAGTAATACATGGATAGTAGTACACGGACAAATTAAGATAAAATTCAGTGATGCTGGGTGATACTGCCTTGACTGGAATACCGTACCTGCATTAGTTTGTGTCTTTAGCTGAAGTTTTGTTGTTGTTTTTGGTTTTGCACCTTTTCATTCCAAGGCTTGTCTCCCTAAACTTTCTCACTCATCAGTTAATAGGAGAATATATTGTCCACACAACGTGTAAGTACCAAGAAACACGGCGATGAATACACAACCCTGAATCTTTGCCGTATCACCTACTTAAAGGAAAACTGCTGAGGGAAGCAGGAAGTATATCCCACAAAGTACTTACAAATACGTTACGGATTTTAATTATAAATGTCTCTGTGTCACAACTGGTGCCCCAGCGTTTGCACACTAGTGCTTTTGACCCGAGACTGTCTTTTCTGAGAAAGATGCTGATTGCTCAGCATTTACATAAAAACTTTGCCGTACCACTGAACCGTATCACTTTCCAATGCTGCTGCTCTCTTTCAAAAGCATAAAAACGGGCAAGACGCTTGTGTGCTTCACACACGCTACGGATGTACAACAGTGATACGCGTGTGTGTAGCCACACGTATGTTTGTGTAATGTTATATCATTTAGTGACATCTCTGTGGCAAGCGGTGTATAAATATGTTTGCGGTCTTTCTCCTTTCACTTATTCTTGTCTTCTGCTGAGTATCGCTGAATTCTTCGTGTATGTTTTTGAGATGTGTTTTTTCTTTGGAATCACCATCTCATCTCTCTTTCTATTTACGATGCTGCTTTTGCAGTTTGACACGTTTTCTCTTTAGTATTTTTGCCATTTTAATTAATTACGCTACAAATGCTGCTCATCATGATGCCCCCGAGACTCTGGCTTGGGGCTTTCCATAGTGGCAGGTCGGGCACGGTGTTCATTCTTACCTGACAGGTATCGGTGCCTCCTGATCGGGAGCCAGCACAAATCATGTTGTTGTTAACCAGACCTCCATACGCATCAGAACTGTTACAGATGCTAGAAGGAATGATTTCCACTTGTGCTTCTTTTAACACAGCTGAAGTTTTACCTTTAATGGAAGACAGCATATAGAAAGGTAAAATATTTATGCTGTTGTGTGTAGCAATTCTTACTGTGCTCTTTTTTCCCCTGTTCAGCTAGCTTAAGCATGTTTCAGTACGTGTTTAGACGTGTGCCTAATGGAGAGATCGTGCCTACTTCTAACAGATTTAAACTTAAGTGGGTTAAGGATTTGCAGACTTTGATTTGATGTCGTTTTTGCAATTCTTATTCTGAAGAAACATTGATGATAACAATACTGCTTACTAGCCTTGCTCAAAACGCTCACCTCAAAATAAGAGGTGACTTACCAAGCAAGCTTATATGATCCCCACAAGATGGGGATTCCACACAAGAAAGATGCACGCCACCAGCTGCCATCATACCAAGTTTGTGCTCATTGTGATGAAAGAGAGAATTTGAGGGAATGCAGCCATTTGTAAAATCCGTGGGGACCCCTAAGTTCACAATGCACGGCATCAGAATTGTTTTTCAGTAAAAAAGCTATTTCTAGCAGACAACATTGAGTAGCTGTACCATGAATCTGAAAGTCAGGCTAGTTTATTTTCCTTTTTTCATGTTATACGTGGAAGAAAGGCTAGAAAATTTACGCCTTTGGTTACATCTGTGTAGATCTAATCTGCTTTCAGTGGAAAAAACACTGAAAGATAATCAATCGCGGAAGGATTTAATGACGTTGTGTGACGAGACCATAACCTGAACAAATTCAGTTCTCTCTCGGTGAGCTTGAGGGTCTGGAACCCCGTATTAGTTATGTAGCTTAGAACTTGATCAGCAACGCAAGCAAATTTTTACCTTTTTCTGCTGTTCGTCCCCAACCGCTAATAAAGCATTCTGTTTCATTGTCAGTGTATGGGTAACGGTGTGCGGGAGGTAAGCAGATAGGCTGAATGTAGTCACTGTAGCGTACTGCGGAATCAAGTTCAAATAATGCAATATCATTTTCAAATGTTTCTCTCTTGAATTCTGGGTGCACAGTGATGCTTCTAATATTTCTTTTTGCTGCGTGTTCGCCATGTTCCCAAAGGTTATGCACGCCCAAAAGAGCTCTCCAGGAATGTGGGTCCCTACGAGAGAATTGATGTATTTTTTACAATTACGTTAAAGTCAATGCGTTTCTTGATGGCATTGTTTTAACCGATTGTTTCACTGTTGGCTTATGCGCCTTTAGGAATATACATTGAAAATTCTGTAGTAAATATTTTCTGGAACATATTTGGCTAATTTCATTTTGTCTGTTTTGAACACTCGGTTTGCCTAATGCTGGTTATGGCTGTTCTAAGGTGAATTCAGATTAATGATTTAAGCTGATACTCAGATTTTGCTTCCCACCCCACCTCAGCAGAGGCCTCCCAGGAGATATTCTTTTGAAAAAGATAAAACCACGGATTTATTTTGCAGAAAGGAAGCAGTCTTATACCCAGAATGCTTGTAAAGACTGTGCTTGTACCTAGGTTTGGGAAATCCATTAACTAGAAGTTACAAATAATGAGTATCAACTTAATATTAAATTTAGAAATAGTCATTCAGACCTCATTTCTAGTCAAGTATGTTGAAAAAATCTTCACTGACAATAAGTGAGAATTGAATTTGGCCTGTGATGAGCAAAGGGCAGGCTGTAAAATTCAGATTAACCTCCAAAATTCTCCAGAGTGTAAGATAAAAATTAAATTGATTGTTTGCGATATAATGCCTCTCTAAATCAATGTTTGTAAAAGTGCATTTAAAGAAACAAGGAACTGATCTACCAAGGTCCTGATAAATGGTAAAATTCCAAAGTTCAGCAATTTTTACAGTTCAGTTCCCCTCAGGTCATGGTTATGTCAACACAGTCGACATGAACTTGCATGAACTAGTGTGCAGATTTTGCAACTGTGTTAAAGACTAAAGACAACAGTGATCAGATAGCTGAAATGCAGCAGAATTGCTGCAAGTACAGTTAAAAGCCTGTTCTAAGGCATGTTTTTACCATATTGTCCAAAAAAAAATAAAGTGCCAGATTGTTCATTACATGTTTTTACCATATTGTCCAAAAAAAAAATACTTAACTGCCAAATTGTTCATTTTATTAAACAGGAAAAAATGGAAATAGTGTTAAAACTAATGAATTGTAACATTTCTAATCTAAATATTGCAACATTTGCTTTCTGCAGTGAGCTTTACTAGTTTAGAAAAATCTATTAATCAGAAAAATTAGAGCTCCGTGAAGAAAAAAAAAAAAGCCCCCAACCTAACCAAAACGTCACCTGGTTTTGTTTTGTCAAAAACAAATGACCCTTTATTAAAAATAACAAAGGTTGTTCTGGGCCAAGCCAGAAGCGCGTATCCAAGACTTCCTAAGTTGACTTATAAAGACATAACTTTGCATCCTGTGCTGGGCCGGCGGCCGTCACCACACACGACCATTACGGCAAAGGTGACAAGGGGACGGTGTTTGGTCCTTAGCGCCACGACCAGTCCCTCCTACGGGCCGTATCGGTAAACAGGAGCTGCACAGGTTGGGTCTGCACATCGGTTCTGCACTGTGAGAGCTCGGTCCGTGTGTGTCCCGTTGATTTGTTCAGAGACACCACAGGTGATGCTTTGCTGACCTACTATGCCATCCTCATGCGTAATAAAAAGAGGTACTGGCAGGAATACATACTTCCTTCGTGTAACGCAGTGGCCCGCGGTAAGTACTGAATTCTCATTAGCTAAAGCTCCACCACAAACGTGCGCAAATTGTACACCAGCTTGGTGAATCTGGAGGCTAACTGACCACGGCCACGCTCCGATCTGAGCGTCGTGTCCACCTACGATCCGGGATCCTGAGACGCTGTCTAAGAGCGGCCGTTGTCCGCACTCTGCAAAACAGAAGTCAGTTGTATCGTTCAAACTGGAAAACAGAGCAGCA